TGCTTATGCCCTCTATGACTGCCTCAGGGACTGAGGGATGTAGCATCCAGGGGTGAAGCTGGCTACTCCTGACTGGAGATGTCTTTCCACTGAAGTCTTAGAAAAACAGCAGTCTTAGGCTGAGCAAAACCCCTGCTCCTAAAAGAAGGCTGGACTCTGAGCAGTCACTATTGTGTTTAGTAACATTAATAAATGCAGAAGGGCACAGAGGTCTAAAATGTGCAGGAATTCACAGCAGAAATTTGGAGGATTTCTTCAAGATGCCCAAGGATCATTTGGTCTGACTAAGGTCCAGGGGGAAATCCAGTTTTATTTTCCCAAGTCTAAGGAGCTTGTGCCTGACAAGGGGAACTGGGGCCCAGCTCTGGGAAGGCAAGCATCCAAAATCTGCTCCATCCAGAGGGATGGGATGGTTTGGACTACATCATTTGCAGTGGTGTTGTTCTCGGTTTCACTTTCACCACCCCAAGTGCATTCCTTTAACTGCCTCCTGCCTCAGGCAGCTGTTTATTTTGCCTTTATCAGTCTTGTTAAAAAAAAAAAAAAAGAAAATGAAAAAAGATGGAAAATTATCAAATAAGAGACAATGCTTCATAAGCATCCACTATAATATTTTGCTTAAAAACATTTAGATTTTAGAGATTTCTCTTTATAGACATTATTAATATTTTATACATGAGATTTTCGAAGATGAGAGCAAGTATTACAGATGTTTAAGCTGTGCTGTTAGGATATCCACTTATAAGTAAAATGAAAAATAACAGGAGCTGAGCAATATGTACAAAAATTCAAATACTGTTAGAAAGTTTCTTAAATACCAACAGAATATTGGGCACCTTGAGAAATGTAAAAGGGGAAAAATAAGAGCTATCAGATACAGTATTTTGTGCTTTTCCCCTGGAATTTGTTGACACAATTTTAATTACCTTATTACAGTCTGCTTTGTTACTGATATAATTGAGTTCCTCACTATTTCAGGTTAAGCAGTAAACCCCAACCAAACCCAAGGCATAACATGCAGTAGCTAAATGTGACCCTTTAGACCTGTCAACTGATTAAAATCAAGTGGGTTGTGTCAGTTCACAGACCTTACTAAAAGTTCACTGGAAATGTCAGAAAATCTCTCTTTTATTTAATTGAGATGTGGATGAAATGTTAAGTCGAGATATTTCTCCATGTCTAAAAAGGCCTGATTAAAAGAATTTGAGTTGTGTCTTCAAACACTATTGGCTCTAGAAGGGGAAATGGCTAATGCATGAGCATTTCAACTGTTCAAGAGGATGATATAGTCAATCAAATTAGCCCTTTTTACTTGTCAATGACAGATAAAGATGTTTATGCATGCTATTATTTGTTGAGATTGCTTGTTAAATAGCTTTACTAGTGCCTTTAAACAATAATCTAAACACAAATGAAACCATTCAATACACTGTTCTATAGAATGAAATTTCTGTCAGAGCCATGTGACTGGATATCAAAGTGACTTGACTGCATTTTAGTCTTTTAGTTGAACTCATTTTACCCTGTTTTTTTTTTTTTTTGGGTTGTTGCTCATTTGTTTGCTTTATTTTTCCTCTTTCTTTTTTTTTTCTTTCCTGCAAAAGAATGGCAAGTCCTGTTTAATCAATTGACAAAAAATACTTAGTTCATGGCTTACATTATGAAATTATTATATTTGTAGTTGAGAGGGAGGCTGAATTCACACAAATATTTCTTGTTAGGCAAATCTGGAATATAGATCAACTGTAAGTACCAAACGATGAAAGCAAATCTGGAATATCTTATGTCTCCTCTAGTAAAACATAAACAGATGCAAAATGTCCAACATAATATTTTTGGTCACTATTTGATGCCCATTGTTATACCTTAACTGCCAACATCAGGATGAGTTTCCTGTATGTTGAGAATTCTAGATTGTGCAGCTTCACAGTTTTGTTCCGAAGAACTTTATTTAACCTACCACCACTCTAGAATTGCCCTCTGAGCTTTATATTACAACAGAACATTTAGAGGGTCCCGGCAGCAGAAAAATTCACTTACATATTTTAGGCATTTGTATGTACTTGGTCGAAGTGAAATATCAAAATAAATCAGTTAATTTGTGCCTTGGTTCAGTATCTTTAAGAAGTCCTGTAATACTGTTAATAGCACTAAGAAATAGAACTGCCTAAGAATTTTTTCCATAGTTTAAACTTTTGTATAAGTTTGCTCCCTAGTTAAATCTCACATAGAGAAATTTTTCAGTACAATCATATTTCAGTAAATCCACACAGGAATATTAGTCGTAGTTCATTTAATCACCAAATCCTAACAACTAAGTGTTCACTTCATTAAAGACATTAAAAAATTCTGGCCAGCTGTTTCCTGCCACTTGGCTGAGGACAAGGTGGAGAAAGACAAGCAATTCAATCCTCGGTAACTCTCAGTTGTGTTCAGCATAATTCTGCCACATAATTATACTTTCATCATTTTATTCCTAAACTAGAATCTGAATCCAAGGGGGGTTCTATGACTTATGGGCTTAAATTCTGACATGTTTAAATTCATGTTGTACACACAAAAATTTCCGAAGATTTTAGTAATCAACTTAGACAAATGCTTTGTTTTGTCAACTGTGCTTTCCCTTTTTTTTTTTTTTTTTAATAACTTTAAATTAAAGTAGTCAAATAGATTGAAGAGGGAGGTATAATTAACATACTATTTGTATATACAAATGATGGATTAGTTATTTGCTCTGTTCCTGGAAGAACATTTTCTGTTCTGGTACATACACAAAATTCTGGAGCATTAAGAACTCTTTGTCAAAGATCAAGATGGCTGTATCATGATGGTTTTAAAGCTTCTGGCAATTTTTTTGTACTGAATATAAAAAGAAATAGTGATTACTACTGAAGAGTGACTTAAAAAATATCCATTTGATTGCAGGAACAATCAGTCCCATGAAAATAAGTGCTAAGGTACCAAATAATAAATCAATATTCTAAGGTCAAAATCTAAACAGACATAGATCAGTGAAGTTGTATGGACTTCTACTAAGCTGTGCTTATTTATACAGCTGGGTCTGGCTATAGGGTGCTGCAAAAATGACAAAGTTATCCAATTTGATCATAATTCAAGAGAACTCTCCCTGGAAACAGAGTTTAGCATTCTGTAAAGCCCACGGAGAAGATTAGGTATGTCAGGACAGGATCAAAACCTATCCACTGGCCCAGGAAACGCTGAACAGGGCTATGTGAAATCCTGCCTGTCCCTGGGGTGCCAGCAGCTCAGCCCAGGCACTTGTGGCCACTTGTGCACTGCATATTTTTGTCCTCTCCCCAGTATAAGGCTGTTACTGATTTTCTTTGCAAGAATAAGCAGGATACAGTCTTTTCAATAAAAAAAAAATCATCTGCTTACAGCCTAACAGCTGCAGAGCCAGCAAATTTTTGCAAATTTCCTTCTCTCCTCCATGTAGCTCCTGTCCCAGTTCAGTGTCCTCAAGCCCTTGAACCAGGGGAGTGGGATGTACTGAGCTGTAGACTCTATTCCTACTGCATAGGCTAATTAATGGGAAAAAGTGCATTCATTTTGCCTTGCCTTGGGGTTTTAAAATCGAAGCACAGCTTCTCATGATGCTGCCAGCAGCTTGATTTTATTAGTGCTTCCTGGGCATACTCTGTGGGCTGTGATCTGAGTCAGCTCAGCCAGTAGGGACTCATTCAAGGGGCAAGAAAAGCATTTACTACAGAATCCCTCAGGGGAGTCAGAACTAATTTGGGATTCCTACCAGGTTAGTAAGCAAGGTGCCCAGCTCCTCATCCTAGCTTGAACTAGAGCAAATCCAAAACACTGTAAAGTTCTCATTGCCTTCAGGGCCAGGCAACAACCAAGGAAAATTTTTGGGTACTAATTTTGGACTTAAATTTAGCCTAAACTCCAGTCAGGTGTTGTGTTCCTAAAGGACTCACTTCTTTAAACACTTCACCTCAAGAGGTCTTCAGCATGTACTTATAAATTAGGCATAAATCTTAAATTTTGCCTTTGAAAAAGGATACTTTACTCAACTTCATGAGTGTGACCAGCTAGAGCTTTAGGTAAGGATCTTCTAAGGTAATGTACTGATTCCCTCCTGATGCACTTCTTAAGTTTTGTAGTCTCATCTGCTCTTTAGCTTTCTATTTATAATTTTAGGGTTGCTTTGCTCTTCACTATATGGATTTTGAGAATGGTGTTCTATTTTACAAATAATATTCACATTTATTTTGTTTTTCACTGTTATATGGTGGAGACAGAAACTGTAACCGTGTGCTTTTGTGGAAATTTGTAAATAAGATTAGCAAAGAGGAAAAGTAGGAAGGTGGCACTAATAGTAGTCTGAAACTACTGCATAGACTTTTACTGAGCTTATACTTACCTACTTGCAGCAAAGATAAACATCACAAGGAAGTGCAATAATATTTGTTCAAGGTTTCTCTTTTTGCTTCAAATCTCATTTTATTGCTGTAGTTTTTCCTATTGCTGCTATTAATTTAATCAGTAGTTTAATCTCAATGGGCTTTCATGCCCTGAAGAGATATGAGGGCTTACAAGGATCAGATGGTATAAGGATATAAAGCTAGGAGACTTGCTGACTGCATAGATGAGCCAGAAAACAGCAAAACTGTCACCTGCAGCTTGCTAAAGCCTAGATGTTCTCAGAACACCGCCTCACTTTCCCAACAGGACAGATAAAAATTCAGAAATTTTGAATATGTCTTTCCTTTTCTGAAGATAGCTTCTCAAGCAACATGGATGGTAATGACTGAAAAAAAAAAAAAAAAAGCTAGTTCTGCTGCTGGATCCCTGAAGGGATTGAAGGAGGTTTAACAGCCTTTAGTCAGGTGCTGAATTTTTTGTATGCTGTGAGTGGGATAGTTAGTCTCTGTAGCCTGACTCTAACCACAGCCACCGAGCAGATAAAAAAAAAACTGTCCTGGAACACGTAAAAGAGAAAAGAAGCTTTTATCTTTTGCAGGTACGTGCTCTGCTGAGCACTCTGTCAGGTCTGTGACAGTCAACAGCAAATAAGGATCTGCAATGCAGAGCACAAGTTGTCATTATCAACTGAGACATTCCATCTAAAACCAGATGGAGAGAGATGCCACTCCTTGTTTTACAAAATGCACATTGAGAAGGTAAGTGGTACCTGTGAAACTTCCAGTAACTCTTTGCTAAATTTATGACCTCTGACTAAGCATTGTGTCTTGCCAAGCAGGAGACAGCTTTTGGTGTGCACAGCAGGACTGTGGAAGCCTAGAAAGCTCCATTTCAGAAATTTCAGATCCCCACAGATTTTTGTTCTACATTTGATATCTGACTGGCAGACATTAAAGTTTGAGATAGTCAGTATAGTCAGTAGTGGGACAAACTGTCTCTAGAGCCTTAGCTAAAAGCTGGAGGACTTAAGTGCAGTTTTCTAGATGTGCAGGGAAGCACTGAAGGCACATATCTTGTTTTACAGAGCTGGGTTCTAGTCACGCCCTCAAAAGATGGAAGCACAGACCAAGTTATGTAACCTCTCCAGGCTACTTCTGTCCTGAACTGCAGCGGTCTCTGAGGTAGGTCAGCTTCCCTTCTCATTTGTTCCATGGTTTCTGGGAAGATTTCCACCTGGAATAAAGTTTACAAGAGCAAAGATAAGAATGTCATTAAAATCACCAACTAGTTCATATACTCAGGCTGCATAAGACCTGAAAGATGTCAGACTTAACAATTAAAAGACTATCAGAACAACAGAGAGAGATCAGAGGCCTTGACAAGGTTAGCAAAATTAAAGAAAAAGAATAGGAGTTATACAGATAAAATGTTTGCATTTTCATGATTAATTTATTAGAATAAAATTTTGCTTTTCTGAGTTCACTTTGTTTTAATATTCCTTTGAATATGGCTTCCGTATCAAAGTGAAAGGAAAAAAAAACCAAAGTATCTCATCCCAGATATTTTTCATGTGTGTGAAGCTCGAATCACTCACAGTTTGTACCTCCAAGTGAAGGAAGGCTGTCCTGTTCTGTTGATGGGTGAGTCAAACTCAGTGGGTGCAACTAAAGCTTGTAGAGGCCTGTGAAGGACAACTACTTTTTACCATACTTGTCACCATGCCACTCACTATCTGCATGGAATGATCTATTGCTGCTGCTGTTGCTGACAAAATCTGCTTTTTTTTCCACCCCCCCACATGCTTATCCTGCCCAACAGCATCTGCTTTTGTTCAAAGAGGCCTATGCCTTCCCTCACCTTGATGATCCGTTGCTGTATCTTTCTGGCAAAGAACTCAAAAGATTTTGCCAGAAGGTTGCACTCAATCAATCCTGCCTTTAGGGTGTCCTAGAAGTGCTTTCTTGGATCACCATTGCTTCCTCTTTCCACACTCCAGTTCCCTTCATAGGAGGCGCTTGAACATATGTACATCATTGATTCAAGCCATATGTCCAGCCCATTACACCTGGGCTTTCCATGTGGATATGCTGCAGGAATTTATCACTGGTCAGTTTAGTGTAGCATCTGACTCAGAGTAAGACACATAGGTGCCTCTGGTGGAACTTCTCCAGCTGGCAGATGTGCTTTATATACTATATCAAAATCTTGCCTCTGTTTAGCACAACAGCCTTTTACAGTTCTAGTCTGTATTTCTAGTCTGTATTTCTAGTCTGTTCTGACACTGATTCCATATTCATTTAACAAACCCAGCAGAAAATTCCCCTAATTCTATGAATGCAGGAAACTACCTCTCCATGAACATCGACACAGACATTCAACATAATTTGAATGTGGGTGAGCCCACATGCAACAAACAGCTCAGTCTCACTGTGTTTAATGGAAGGGACATTGTATTCTTCTCCATGTTGATTGACAAATTATCTTGGTTTTCCTCAAATTTATGATTAGTCTGATTTTTTCTTGTTGGTCTTGGAAGTAGCACATTTGTTTGTTAAGAAGATCTGAAGTCTTTGGCTGATGTGAGCTACCAGCGTGCAATGATGTGCATATCAGCATTCTTGTGTGCTCTACTTGGTGGCTTCTGTTTGGTGTGCAGTCCTTCTGCTGCCCAAAAGTGAGTCCTGCTATTTAGACTGAGGTAGCATTTGTTTTACATGACTCCTCAGAATAAAATATCATTTTCTCTATTAAATGCATCAAGAAAAATAGAGAACAACAGTCCATTTAGTACCCAGTGATTTACAAAAACAAAGTAAGAGACTTTCAGGGAGGGTCTGAAAGGCATATGGTCTAAATAGAAAAATAAAGGCAGAAGGAAGAGGAAGGAAAGAAGGGGAGAATTAGTTCAAAGAGATGGATGTGGGTGGTATAAATGGACAATGAACACAAGGGGGAGGAAGTTGAGGTTAAAAAATAGAGAAAGAAGCCTCTCATCATGGCCCTTAGGAAAGAGGTGAATGAAATTACACCACAACAGTCAAAGCACTGCTTAAGCAAGAAATTACACTCAAAACACACTTAAGTAAAATTAAAGGAAGCTTCAGTTCTGGAGGGAATGGTGGAAACAGCCTCTCAGAAATATTCTCCCAAAGAAAATATTTAAGTACTGAGCATAAAAGCTTTACAAAAAGGTAGGTTAAATCATGTCCTGATATATCAGCAGAGTGACATATAGTTTGGCTTTCTTCCTAAAATTAGGAGCTCAGTTACATATGTATACCTTAAGACCAAAGACTCTGCAGCTAAGCCTGTGTTGTATTAATCTTTGTGTTGCAAATTTTTCATAATATATTTATTAGCACAATGCCAGATTCATCACTGAATTAATTCAGCTTCACATCTGTGTATCTAATAGATTTTGATCAATGAATCTGGAGGAAGAAATGGATCAGTTGGTTGTGGTTTGTATTCTTAAATATTTGAGGTTTTTTATTTCCACTTTGGCACAACTTTCATGAACTACTTGAAGTTCTGCGGAGTTTGGACTACGGCTACACTAAAGAACATCTGATATAATAACTCTTTACATGCATTGCCTTACCAAAAAAATATTCAAGAATGCATTAATGACAAATAAACTCAAAGCATTTGGCTTGGTCTCTTTCGTTTTAAATAATAAACAAGACAACATCATGTTATGAAGAATCTAATTGAAGATTTGGAATAAGTAATTATAATAACCCAACAGGAGTTCCAGGGTCTTTTTGAAGCAACATTTTTCTTGGATTACAAAACACTGATAGAAGTCTCAGTGCTGTAAGCCACATGAAGAAAGGAAACCCCAAATTAAGAATGATAATTACAAAGCAGAGACACTTCTTCTGCATCTTTCTTTCATCAAAAAATGCCAACTCGGCCATTTAAAAGACATGAAATAGTGTTATCAGAGTTTTTTCCCATGTGAAATGTTTGTACAGGAGATGTAGCAACTAAGAACACACAAGTACAATATTTGAGCATGCAACTCCATATCACAACCATGTTGAGGAAGAAGATAACTGCTTTCCACAGCATTCTGATTTTAGACAATAAGCTTGTCTTTTATAACCAAAGAAAAGAAAAAAAATCAAAAGACATCTTTTCCATTTTCTCTTGCAATTTTTAAGTATTTCTTGCAGATGTTCAAGCGTTCAAAGAATAATTTGAAACTGTAATCTGAATCTACCGGAGGAAGTTTAAAGTATGTTGACCAAACTGTTCCATATTGCAGAAATCATGTTCTTATGATTAAGAAGGATCAAACAAAATAATAATCCAAAGTGACCGAACCATGTCTCCTAAAAAAAATAATTCTAAATCCATATACAAGCACATGGATAAAATAAAAATATTTGTAAGAAGGTGATATTGCATTGATTGCAGTTTGATTGTAGCCACAAAGTAGGTTCCTTACTATGAATTTAGGAGCCTAACTTTAGGCATCTAAGTTTGCAAGAGGCTAGTACCTTGTGATACGAAGCTGTTGGACAAGCTTATAGAGATATCTGTGAGGAGATATGTCTGAAGAGAAGGAATTCTTGTTTTGATTAGTGGAAAACATAGTAATCATGTCAAAATATTCTCAGATTGAATGCCATAAAGTCTACATTAGGCATGGAGATATAAGTCCAGTTGCTACATTTATTTTAATTTTGGGAAAAGAGTAGACTAATTGGTAAGCTGCTTTGAGTAAATTTTCAACAGATGAGAGTTTGCTTACTTTGGAATTAGAATACTGGGGCTCCAGCTGGAGCTTTTTTTTTTTTTTTTTTTTTTTTTTTTTTAATAGAGAGGAGCTAATGAATTACCTCCTATTAATATTTCACCTCTGATTTCTATATATTAAACAATAAAAATCCTCATTCATAATTATGCAATCGAGTAGTACAGCAGCAAGGTATGAATAGCAGATAAATAATTTGAGATATATACAAATAATTTTCTGAGAATTCCTTAATACCTCTGAACATATAAAGTGAACTTTACCTAAAGTAAAACCTTTACATGAAAATTAAACAGGCTGCAAAATTTCTATGCAACATCCAAAAAAGTCCATGTTGCCTTATCTCACAGTAGGGAAATTAAACTTACTGTTACAATTTAAACAAATCTATTAATTGTGTACTACATCATTCCTCTTGGTTTGATGGTATTTAAATGGAGTTTAATACAAATTTACAGTCACCTGTGCTTGATGCAAAGAATAGTTCTAGAATCAGAATCATAGCATCAATCTTTTAATTGGGCTGGAAGGGACCTTAAAGATCATCTAGTTTCAACCACTCTGCCATGGGCAGGGACAGCTTCCACTAGACCAGGTTGCTCAAAGCCCCATCCAACCTGGCCTCAACCTGGCCTCAAATACTTCCATGGATGTAGCAACCTGTTCCAGAGCTTCACTACTCTCTGAGTAAAGAATTTTCTCCTATCATCTAATCTAAATCTACACTCCCTCTTACAGCTTAAGGTCACTCCCCTTTGTTCTATCATTACATGCCTTTGTAAAAAGTTCCTCTCCTGCTTTCTTGTAGGTCCCCTTTAGGTTTGCTATAAGGTCTTCCTGAAGCCTTCTCTTCTCCAGGCTGAATGGTCCTAAATCTTTCAGCTCCATTCCTCTCATCTTCAAGACCGTTCTCTGGACTCAGGAAACAGGTCCGTTTCCTTCTTGTGTTGAGAATTCTAGACCTGGGTGCAGTGCTGCAGGTGGGTTCTCATGAAGGTAGATTATAGGGGAAGAATCACCTCCCTCGACCTGCTGGTCACTCCTCTTTTGGTGCTGCCCAGGTCTGGGCTGTGGGCACATGTTTCTGTCCTTTCTGCGCTTTCCATCCACAGCAACCCCTAGTTCTCCTCTGCAGGACTTTGTTCCATGAGTTCTCCGGGTCTGTGCTCATGACTGGGGTTGCCCCAGCCCAGGTGCTGCCAGGTCCTTCTGGATGGCATCCCTTGCCTCTGTTGTCTACTTCTCCACTCAGCTTTGTGTCATTTCTACACTTGCTGAGGGTGCTCTTGATCTCACTCTATGTGTCTTTGATAAAGGTACCAAAATGTACCAGTCCCAAGAACTTTCATCTCACTCAGATGAGCGAGGGACACCACTTGTCTCTGGCTTCCCCCCAGAAATAAAGCTATTAACCACAGCTCTCTGAGCATGTCCAGCCAGCCAATTTCTTATACACTGAATAGCCTACATTTCAAATCCATGTCTCTCCAATTTGGAGAGAAGGATGTCATATGGGACCATGTTGAAGCTCTAACAGAACTATAGGTGGTCTTCACTTATTGACTACTGCAGTTACACCATCATAAAAGGCAATCAGAATAAATTAGATTACTGTCACCTCTAGTTATTTCATCTTGACTGTTTTTAATGTAAGCTAATACTAATTCTGAGGCATTTAAAAATCTACTTTATCTTAAAAATATTTGTTCTTAATTCTAAGACTGCATTGAAATTCTAGGTTAACATTTCATCTTTTATGGCTTATACATGTAAGTCTGATGTTCTGTCTGATTAAGAGGAACCATATGTTTTAAAATTAAAAAGCAGAAAATCATGGGTGTTTATGCCTTTCTTTTCAGAACAAGCATGATATCTCACTCACACCTCTTTTTTGGATATATATGTATACATTTATCATTGTTACTTAGTGCTTTGTTTTAGCTGAGAAATGGTTTGCTGTACTTCAGATGGGACAGTTTTGTTCTTTGGCAAAGCAACAGGATGATATCAAATTCAGACAAAACACTGGAAGCTAAATTAAGTAACATGGGTTTTTTACCACGTGGGAAATTTTATGTAATTTGCTATTTTACTGCAAGTGGATCCTACCAGAAAAGTGTGGGGCTTGGTTGCTTTTTTTTTTTTTTTTGTGGTGGTGGGTTTTTTGTTTGTTTGTTTGTTTGTTTGTTTGTTGGGGTTTTTTATGGCTCACCATGACTGACAGTATTTTCTTTATTTGTGGATCTTACTGTTGCACATTTCCTTCAAGAGGAATTGACTGGGGCTGGGAGCTAACCTTTTCCTGGAGACCTACGAGTAGGACAACCTTGCTGTCTGAGCAGCTGAGCATCTGAAGGACAGCAAGGAGCATTCCCACAACTGGGAAGAGCAGGGAGAACACGAAGAGCAAGGCCTTGCAAAAGGCCCAAGAAAAGCCTGCTGAAGGAGTCAGAGCACTACTTCTGCAGATTGCCAAAGTCAACATACTGAAACTGAGTCTAGAGGACATCACTGATGTGCCTACATGTAGGGGGTTTGTAAGGATGTTCAATTCTATCTTGCCTCTGGCAATTTGAATTTTATCTGTCCTAAAATGCTGGTGATCATCTGCCCTAATGTAACCATTCCCAGTGTTTAAAGACAACAAATAAAAAATATGTGTAAATACAGCTCCTAATTTTATAAGACCTTTTGGGCTTATACATGTGCTTGCAGTTTTATCACAAAACTTTTAAAACTTCTAGTTGTGAAAATAATTTTAAAATCTTGTTAGGAGCTTGAAACTGATGGAAGATTAAAAGTTATGGTACTAAATTATAATGAAAATCCAAATATATACTTTCAAAGAGAAATATGTTTAGCATTTGCTGCCATTACTTTCAGCATTAAGTTTTGGTATGAAGAGCCTCTGATGTTGCCAAGTTTTTATAGACAACCTGCTGTTTGCAAACCAAAGCAAGAAATGTCCCATTTCCTGACCTTTGCCTTTGTTTTTAGTTCTCACACACAAAATATTTGGTTTGTGAGAGAAATTTTTAATATTCACTATCAGGCTTAGATTCTTTCACAGTTAATGTATGACTTTCAATTTAATCTTCTTGATTTTCTTTTTTTTTTTTTTTGGTGTTTTTCTTGAATGTGTTATAGCATAAGTCAGCAGACTTCCTTCAAAAGTACTAAATAAAATAGTCATATGAATCTGAAAGAGATTTTCCTCTTGTGCTATTTTCTAGTATTTTATTTTTATAAGTAACTGAGCTGTGTTACCATCAAATACTAGGGTCAAACTAAACCACAATATTTTAAATAGGAATTTAGTCAGTACACACATATATAAAATGCCATTCTAGTACACTATTCAGTGTTTTTAAAAGAAATAACTGATAAAATAGTGGTTTGTTCTGTTCCAAGTGTTCATTCCTGCTGGTGATTTGCTGCACATCACAGCTGCTAATAATCAGGCTGCTGGAATAAAGGCTACTGTATCCTTTGCACAGTATTTAGTCTGTAGGACAACTGTAATGTTTTAACAATGTTCTACTACTTGCTGGTTTGTGATCTACACAAAAGTAGTAAAATGATTTAATAGCAGAGATCTATGATAGCTAACCTGTAATTACAACCTCATTACTTTCATAGTACATGCTGCAGAAAATTTGCATATAGCATAATTAAAATAAACGCATTTCCTACTAAATCTGAGTGTGTTTTTTCATATAAAAAAGGCCCATTCCTTCACAGGTCAAATAAGTGGATTGATTTGATTTACAAATGTTTCTTTTGGGCCTTTGTGTTTTCTGAGAAGATTGTGTCTCTCTCAGATACAGGCCCTGATACAGTAATCTATCCCTTTGTCACACTGAGATGCAATCTCCACAGGATTTTGTGTGATGGTTTTGAATCTTGTATTAAATGTGGTTTGAGAATCCAGTGTTTCACCATCAGCTCATCTGTGCCCTGATGCAAAATGCAGTGTAAGGCTCTGGGTTTGACCTAAAAGAAGCATGGTAGAACACCGTCTCTGTCCATGTCTTTTTACATTTGACTTGCTTTTTAACTTGGCCTTCCTGCAGGTATCAGTGTTTGAGTCATACTGAAGAGCTCTGCTTTTCCCACGGGGTTTTCTGCAGGATGGTGTGAGATTTGACTATAGCTCAGTTTTGGTCATTACAACATTTCTGTGTAAAGCAAGCATTTCTACTGTGCATATTCCTTGTAGCAGCTCATTAGAATTTACTTTAGAATAGAAGTGTGCCTTTTAAATAGACTTCAGTAAGTTGTACAAATAGGTCTCATTTATATTACTGACACCTTGCACAGGAATTTTCTGTCACCTTTTCATATTTCACCATGCTGTTATCTCAAATAACTCATGGTGATATCAAATGAAGAAAACATGATGTGTTTTTGCAAACTGTGATACAGGGGGAAAATTGCTCAAATAATATTTAATTTCAAAGAAGCCCAGTCAGAGGTATCAGAACATCCTAACACCTCTCAGCAATTATCCTTAGAGAAAAAAACAACAGGCCTCAAGCTGAGTTCTGGTTTTGTAAAGATCTTTGTCCTGGAAATATTTGTACTTACCTGTAGAACACATTTTTAAGTCTTTGGCCAAGACTCAGTGAACACCTTGATATGCATTGGTTTTTACAATGCAGTTTTCAAACACACATTAGATGGTTTTGGATTCAGACTTTGACCAAAGTTAGTCCTAATTACAAATAATTTCACCTCAGTTCATACATTTCATTTAAAAATACAGTCCCACTTTAGTCTGATTGATCTCTTTCCTAGGAGTCCTAGAGCTTAACTAGTCATTGCAAAATCAGGTTTGTAAAAGCTTGGTTAAGTGTTTTCTGCACACAAACTCCCAAATGCTTCCTCCATCCTCATTGTTCTGACAAACTATTCTGTTCTTTATTGGTGGAAATCATTCATATTGGCATTAAATGAAGTTGTAAGGAAAATATTCACAATTGTTTAAAAAAGAAATCAAATGGCAGTTTGATGCACTTGTATCTCATACATTTGTTCTGTGTGACTACCACTTTGAGCTAAGATTTATTCCTTTAAATGTTCACTATAATTAGAGAAGAAATTATTTTATTAAGGAAAGAAAGCTCAGTTTTATTTTAATGGAGATAGAATCTAGGAAGATTAGATAATCCAATCAGAGTACTGAGACAAGATCTTGGGGTGTGGGTGACTTCTCACAAACCCTTATCTACAGAAAAATGGTTGTTATGAATATTCTATCAAATACTCAGTCTCAACACAACTCATAGATCACAAATATCCACCAAGAATACAAATGTCCACCAAACATGAAATTTAGCTCTAAATTCCCATGGCAGAGCCTCTTTTTAATGCCTATGCTGTAATTTACTTACTATTCTGGACTGTTGAATTTCAGTGCTTCCAGAGTTGTCAGAGTTGATCCAAGTGATGGATACCTGTCACTATGTCATAAACCAAATGTCTTTGCAGTTTTTACAAATGCCAGGTAAAAAAACAGTGAGTCATGTTTGCATCCTTGCAGAAGGTCCACTCTTTGAGAATGCTCTGAAAGTGGCAATGTACAGGTGCCCACGGAGAGCAGTTCTAGTAGTTTGTCAGATTATGTAGCATGGCATTAAACTGTCTGATGATTATGTGAGACAGTCAGGTCTGAAGTGCTAACACACTTAGCTAAACATATCATCCTCTTTTTCAATAAAACACTGTTTACCAGTGTCTACTTACACTATTAATTTCTTAGGAGAAATAAATACCTGGATGAAAGCCAGGCAGTTTTAGTTTAGCCTGAGATCAGCAGAGCTGATGATCAAAGGAACAAGTGCAGCTACATAATGCAAAAGATAGGAACGAGTTAAGGTTTTGCCTTTGTAGTCTGCTTGCTTACATTTTGATCATAGTCCTTGGAAAGCAATTCATGTATCAAACTATTTCCCTCGCTGTCCCCTCCTCATATCCCCATGGTCCAGCAAACCCTCACAGGTATTTGTGCATGATATCAGTTTTAAATGACGGCAGAATTGCTTTTTTAATTTTATTTTTTTCACAAATTATGAATTAAAACCAGAACTATCTTAAATTTCATTGTCAATTTTTATGATATTTTCAAAATATGTCTATTCACAGAATACATGTATAAATGTTATAAAAAACTTTAAAAATAATACGAGATACAATTATCTCAGTGTTTAAAAAACATGTAAAATAAGTAAAAATGTATAAACTTTTATATGTACTATACAGTAAACACCTGAGAGAAAAATGGAAAAATGCTCAGTTTTCTGAGATTTTGATTCAACAATTAAAACATCAAATACAAACATATCCTGCTAATAAGCCAATGTCAATTTAGAAAAAAACTTCTATGAGAAAAAATTACTTTTACTGAACTTGAACATTTTTTTTTGAAACTAGAAATTAACATGTTCTTACTTTATTTAGAATTTCTAATCTTATCATGTTTCTGTGGAAAACTGTACTGCCATAAATCCACATTTTTATTTCTACTTCATTATTATCATATTTTGACAACAAATATAAAAAATGAAAAGCATGGAATTATTTATTTTCAAATGTCTATACTGTTTTTTCCTGTTTTCTACTGTGGAACATTCTAAAGATCAGAACAATTGCTGATAGGCAAAGGAATAATAAAAATATACAATATTATATGTATCTTCATGAAATTTGAAGGAAGAGGAGAAAAAAATACAGAATTATGGAAAGAAACAGGAAAAATACTCTCAAATGAGTTTTTTTAAAAACTTTATTCTTTTGTATTCTTGTAAATGGAAAAAACCTTTTCCTAAAGGTAAGAAAAGGGTGCTTCACCTTCATCCAGTTATCTGAGAGTTCTTCACTCAGTTGTGATTCCTGAATATTTAGTACCTTCCTTGTATTTATATCATTTTGCTACAAGGCATCCCACATTTTACTACATTGCTTTTAGAAATGTGTTCTTCTCTGAATCTTTCTCTTTTTAGCTCCTGGTAACTGCTCTTCAAGTGACAGCAAATTGGACACTCCTGCCAACTTTTCCCGTCCCAAACATGATTTTATCATACCTGCTTTAGGTTATTTTATTTTCTGAATTAAAGAAACTGAATTACTTCCTTAGTGATCCATATTCCTGGCTGTTCTCACCCTGTTCTGAACACTTCCCAATTAAATGATCTCCTCCATGAGAAGCAAGGACAAGAAGAAGGAACCTTTTACCATTCAAGATGTGAATCAGATATATGTTTACTGAGTGACACAGTAATATGATTTTCCTTCTAATTCCTAATGATTCATTTGTAATAACATGTTTTTCCTTCTAATTCCTAATGATTCATTTGCGTTTTTGATTGCCAGAGTGCGTCAAGTTGATTTTTTCATAGATTTTTTCCATCGTAACCCCAAGACCTCATACTTTGGTGACAGTGGTCAGCTCAGGGACCATATGTTTAAACAGAGATTTATTTTACCATTGGCATCAGTCTAGATTTATCAAAAGTAAATTGTTCTTGTTATTCTTGTTATTCTTATTATTCTTGTTGTTATTTATTGCCAAGGTCCTGAATAAAAAACCTCCTTCCATTATAATAATTGACCATTTCTTCCTGCCCTCTGTTTCTAGAACAGCAATACAGTATTTTACCATTTCATAATCCCTTTTATCCCATGACTACATAATTGCCTTGAAAATTTTTTGAATGTTCGTAGAAAATATCTTTACCTTCCTGCATCTAAATTCTGTTGTTGAACTCTGCAAAGAAGTGTCACATGACTTATTTTACAGTTCTAATAAGAACTATATAATTCTAATAATAACTGAAAATGTAAAGGAATTGTCACCATGTTTGTGCAGAAGAAAATGTGATACTTCTCCAATAAGGTTCAGTGTGTTTACTGAAAAAAAAATGTTGTATTTTGTTTTAAAAGTTTCTCATCATGTTTATGTAGGCACTGCCTTAAATTTAGACTTTTGGATCATACTATATATACAGTTATACTATGAGGTTGTTTCCTATCCTGTATGGAAATTCTGTTTGTTCTACTTAAA